CAACCCTCATTGCATACTCCTACAATAAAAATAATGCCCTAAAATATAATACTTTTAGACTATTCTCTCCCCCATAGACTTCAATGCCATAAACATATTTCATCCAGTTTTTCTCAGTCTTACCCCCACCCCAATGCCAGCCTCATTCTACAACAGTGGCACCATATAGCATTTAAAAGACAATCTTTTTAATTGCTTAATTATTCAAATTGTTTTACAGGCTTAATGATGGAGCCAGCTGAACTCCATATGGACTTAGTTTAGGCTCCTGAGCTCTACCAGTTTTCAACCGAGGAACTTCTTAATGCCAACATTCATTGGAAGCCTCATATATGCCGTTGTCTAATGTTTTCTGCAGAGAGAGAATGAGCTGGGTCTGGGAATGCATTACATAAACAGTTCATACTTTGTGTAGTGATTAATGGCTCAATATTGTTTGAGAAACAGCATAGTTAATTGGTCTGTGAAGTCATATAATTGAAGTGTAGTTGTTCATCAGTGAAAAATCAGCTAATCACATTTAATTTCTGAACTGGGATTAATAGGAGTGAAAACTAGGTCAGATTGTTGTTGTTATTATTGTTATGTGCCAGTGAGCCAAATATGACTCATAGTGACCCTCCAAACAACGGCTCTGAAGCGTGCCCTATTCTGTGTCATCCTTCTCTCAAACACACTAGTGCCCACTGCTGCAGTGACTGTGTCAGTCCATCTTGTTCAGGATCTTCCTAGGACAGGACTTTTTTTAGAAAGTAATAACTTTGTTGTTAACAGCTATATTTGTTGGTGAAAAGAACAATGATGAAATCAAACCCCCCAAATAGCTATGAAGACCCTTTGTTCACATTCTGACCACAGGAGGATGAGCTGGTGGCCGGCCTGAGCTTTGGGGATTGCCTTGATTGTGTCTGAGGTGGCTGTGGCCTCAGTATCCCAGTTGTGCCTTCAGCATCTGATGGTTTGGGTGTTTCCCTACTTCACACTTACCTACCTGTGCACTTGGCTTTTCTCGCATGTTCAAGGTGGTTTTGCTATTGTTCTAGACTCTGCCTTTCTGTGGGATTTCTTCATTGGTATTATTTTATATTTACCATCTAGGAAGTACCAGTCTTTGTCTACACTACAAAATTCCAGATTCTGGTGATGTTGGCATTCTCCTGTTACATATTTATCATGAGAAATAAATATTCTCCTAGATGGACAAGTCAGGGTTGTGTCATTAGTATTTTCCCAAAACATGCTCATTATAATATTCCATTATCATACAGTCCTTGGGTTATAATTTTTTTTTTGTTTTAAACAACTTGGCCACATCCTCCTCTCCCAGTTTTTATGTCTCTGTGAATAGCGTTCATTCCTATTTTTAAAGCATTTAAATAATAAACTCAAAAAGAAATGAATATTTGAGGCTGTTGCATGATATAAAGACAAATTCAAGTAATCTTTTCTTTGGGGATAATGGATAAGGGAGTTTTCATATCCTGTTATCCACACACTGGTTCTTCTAAAAAAAAACAACTAAAATTAAAGTTTAAAAAATTAAAATGTAAAAATTATTTTAAAAATGTAATACTAACATTTTAAAAATTAAAGCATTCGTTTATAAGGCTGTTTTTCTCGCATGTAGTCTGGATTCACAAGCTAATCATTTTGCAACCTGACGTTTTTCTCCTCTAGTTGAGAGCATAAAGATTAAGCTCTCTGTATGTGATTGACTCGTTATGTTGAAATGACCCCTACTGCAATCTTCTCCCCTTATCTATCTTCCTTGAGTTCGGGGAAGTGGGCGTTTCAATAAATATTTGCTGAACTAGAAACGGAACTTGACCAAAGACCACAACCATCTCATTGTAACATTAAATACATTGATGACGAAAGTAGTGTGGGACGCGGATTTAGGTACTAATCCTTCGATGATGTTTCAAGATGAAAACCAGGCTCTGTTAGGCCCGTGCGACATCAGGCCAAGCCCACAACGGACTGGTCGGGAGTGTTTATGGGATATTTATGAATTCTGTTCTTTCTTCAAGGAACCAGAGGAAGACATTGCCATGGAAGACAGCCCTACTATTGTGAAACTTGACCAAGGTGAAAACCAGGTCTCCCCGTGTGGAAGGAGACGGTGTCTCCCCAAGGCACTTGGCTATGTCACTGGAGACATGAAAGAATTGGCTGACTGGCTAAAAGGTACTCACTCCCTTGGAGAAATGGGAGAAGCCACTTTGGAAAGTATAGTTTTGTTTATTCTTGTACTTTTATGTTGTTGTTGTTGTTGTTATGTTCTGTTGAGTCACTTGAGACTCATAGTGACCCTCTGTACAACAGCCCTAAACTCTGCCCTGTCCTATGCCAATCGCACTGTCTCCAACATACCCATCCCGATTACCCCAGTCACTGAATTAATCCACCTCATAGAGGGTCTTCCCCTCCTGCACTTTCCCTCCACCCTCCCAGAGCTCAGGTCTCTCCTTACAACACGACCAAAGTGTGTCAGACGAAGCCTCAGAATCCTTGCCTCCAAGGAGCAGCCTGGTTTAACTCTCTCCAGGTTGAATCTGTTTGTTTTCTTAACAGTCCGTGGTACCCTCAATACTCGTCTCCAGCCCCACAGCTCAAAGGCATCAATTCTCCTTCTATCATTTCTAGTCATTGTCCAACTCTCTGATGCATAACAAGTGATTGCAAAGACCATGGCCTGTATCAGACACACCTTAGTCTCCAGAGAGACACCATTGTTCTTCAGTACTTTGGAGAGGTCCCTAACAGCAGACTTTCATTTTAATCTTCAACCCTTTTGTCTCTTTCTATTTGTCTGCTTTTCACTATATACTTTCCTGCAAACCATCTTCAATTGTTTTTTGGGGGGAGATAGTGGTCAGAGTCAGGAACCTGCATGTCTTAAGGGAAGACAGCTCAATGTCAGTGCTTAATAACAGGAATTTTTCTGTTAGTAATTCATTCCTTTGACTTAAATTTGGTACCTCTGAACATGGAAATAAGTGCTTTGGTGTTTTCTAGAGTTAAGGTTCTAATCAGGGCAGTTTGTGTTGAGCATAAGACACTGGATACTTTTGGAGATCTCGGTGTCACTTGGCAGGGGGTAAATGGTTCAGAGAGAAATGCTTAAAGGGACATTAAATATTAGCTTTACAGGGGAGCTCTGGTGGCTTAGTGGCAAGAAGCTGAGCTGCAATCCCAGAGGTGTGTAGTTTGAATCCATCAGATGCTCTGCTGAAGGAGGGACAGTCTCTTTCCTGTACCAGTCAGATCCAATTTGATGGCACACACACACACAAAATAATAAAATAAAATCTTTTTAAAAATTAGTTTTACCTGAACTGTAGGTAACTGTGATGATTTTGCTCAGGGAAGGTTCTAGTGCTGGGACGGCATCTCATTGGTGTTGTCTCTACCTAAGGTCTTCCCATCTCGTTTCTTCCAGACAAGCCAATGGTACTTCAGTTCATTGACTGGGTCCTGCGGGGAATATCCCAAGTGGTGTTTGTCAGCAACCCCATCAGTGGAATCCTGATAGTGGTGGGACTCCTGGTCCAGAACCCGTGGTGGGCTCTCAACGGCTTTTTGGCAACTGTAGTCTCCACTCTGACGGCCTTGCTGCTCAGTCAAGACAGGTAGGAGGCCAGCCAGTGACTGTGGGCCGAGTGCTATCGGCACACCCTTGTCACGAGAAAAACCTTTATTCCACAGAACTGTGTGTTTGCCTTTGGTCAGAGCTCAGGGAACCACGTTCAGATCCCTCAGAGATACTGCACCTCTGGCTACTAAAGCAAAGCAAACAGCACAATAAAGTGAATCACATACATTTGTGCTATTTTGTTTTCCAGTGTGTATAAAATTTATGCTTCCTATTGAGTTTGCATTATGGACAAAGTTTGAAATATTGTAGGAATTGCCAAATATGTGACAGAGAGACATGAACTGTGATCAGAAGATATTGCAAAAAATGGCACCAGTGGTTTCTTGGCGCAGGTTTGCTGCAAAACTCCAATTTGTAAAAATTACTGCATCTGTGAAGCATGATAAAGCAAAGCTTGAGTAAACAAGCTACGCTTGTAGAGTCTTTGATCCATGGTGCCTCGCGTGGGGCCGGAACTTAGGCAAGAAGTCATTTCCAGGAGAAAAGGACCTTCTTTACAGACTGATAAAATAATTTATTCACAAGCATTTTGTTTGTTTGGGCAAAAGTTATTCTGTGTTCCTGATTAAGTCTTAGTGGTTTAATAGCCCTTGCTATCAGGCTTCCAGACTTCATTTAGCAAACTCAATCTCTATCACTAGTGCAAAGGTTAGGCTCAGCTTCTGTAAACAACTGTTAATTCAAAGTTTGCAGACCCTGCCTTGAGAATCTTGAATCTTTTGAAATAGGTGCTAGCTTTAAAATGGTATGTGCTTCATAAATTGAAGCCTTAATGAGTTGCTTTCCACCAGGAAAACAAATGGCACTTGACTTCTAATTTCTTCAGCTGCCTGGGATCAAGGCATAATTTTTTTGGGAGGGGTTTCTTTTTTTTATTATTATTATTGAATTTTATTAGTTTCAATGAACATTCACAGGGATTCTGGGCTTTCACTCCTTAATTGCCACACCATTCTCTCCACCCTCCTCCCCAGTTTGTTCTTCTTCCCCGCCATCCAAATGTCTGTTTTAATTGTCCAATTGCCACAGTGCTTGTCAAAGTCAGTTCTGATTAATCTCCTTTGTCGGTGTGTCCTTTGCCATTCCCTATCACTCCTCCCTGAGAGAGACTTCACCCTGATTCATAAGGAAAAGGGGATGGCGTATTCTCTTAGCTACTTCCTGCTGAAAAGGGACGCTGTGGGTTTCAGGGTGAAGATCTTCTCTCACTACTCTAAAGGGCCCCTTTGGCAGTAGGAAACACATAGACTATTATGGAGATTGATTTTGGAATTTAGATGCACTCTTATTGATTGTGCTTGGCCGTACATGTTCATATCCTTGAAGATGTATCATGGGGGTGTTGCAACCTAGTAGACACAAATTTGACTAACAAGTTATAAGTACATGAGTCAAAAATTATGGAAAAGTAAAAGAAAAGATTCTTTCATTGTTTTACAAACCCTCCCCCAGGTCCCCTCCACCATGTAGCCATCACTCTAGACTCCTCTCATGACAGAAATACCTAGTTATATATCTCTTTTAAACAGTTTTCTCCCTCCTCTGTTTCAGTGCAGTATACATTATTGAACCCATCTTACTCAGTCTCTCCCCAACCCCAAGGACAGTCCCATTCTACAACAGTGGCATCATGTAATATTTGTCCTTTTGTGACTGGGATATTTCACTCAGCATAATGTTCTCCAGAGTCAACCATTTTGAGGATCAAGGCATAATTACCAAAGGATGATCCTTACACGGAGATGATTTTGCAACCCTGTAAATTCCCTTAGGAAGTCCTCAATGAGTCGACCAATATTTCTCTTTGCCGTCAGGTCTAAGAACCTTGTTTTACTTCCTACAGAATAATTTTATATTCTAAATTAACTCAACCCATGACAATGCCTCTTTCAGGCATGATTTATTTTAAAAGTCGCATTAACATGTGTTAATTTTCAAATCTCTTTTACTCTCCTTAACCTGAAAGAACCATACTAAACCCATAGTCTTCTGTTTTAAGTGAATTCCCATCTTCTTGTTTCTTTAATGGTGGAATCTCACAAGCTGTAGAGAATGCCACTAATTTGTCATTGAACAAACTAAAGCATTAAATCTCCAGCTCACTTATGGAGAGGTCATGTCGTTGTATAGAGCCCCATTCTCATTGTATATAATCCCAGTTGTTATTACTTTGTGTTGTTGGTTGCTGTCAGGCAACATGCTGACTCACAGTGACCCTCTGGGTCCACATCATGGGGCAGAACAAGACTATAGGCTTTTCAAGGCAATCTATAGACTTTCAGAAAGAGTTCAAGTACCAAGCCTGTCTTTGGAGACATCTCTGGATGAGTTCTCCCCACAAACCTACCAGCTAGGTTAATAGTCAAGCACTTGAGACCCCCCATTGCATCACTTCTCACACATCCTGAAAGGAAGCAAAGTTCTTTTGTAGATTACCACCTGGAATGTTCTCCCACATGACTGTCCAGATATCAGCTTGACCATTGCAATGTTGCTGATTGAAAACAACCAAGAACCTCTCATGCTTTCCAGTACTGCCTCATAGTTGCTAGGCTTCCTGGCTGCCACTGCCATCCCCTAGGCCATGCATTTGACCTCAGCACCTTCACATGCTCTCAGTCCTGTGATGTGTCCTGCTGAGTGGAGGACTCTGTGCCCTTCACTGTACTGGGCATTGCCAACTCTGAGAGCACCAGTTTGGGAGGTAGTTGGGTCGGGCTTGGTGCACCCAGCTTGGTTCTTGGTCTATGATTTCATTCTCTCTCTCACTCAGGGACTCTAGCTCCCAGTTATTAAAAGGGAACCATTTTGGCCATAAGTAAAAATATACCTTTAGAGTAATCTTTGAGATTCATTACTAAACAGAGATAATTAGATGTTAAACATGCACACAAATAGAGGTAACAATGCCAAATAAAAGGAAAGTCATTCTTTGTCTTTGAAATAACTCAGAAATAAGTTTGGAGAAGACAAAATTGAAGCAGTGAATGATGAAAATACATGCTAAACTGGAAGTTTAACATTTAGAGTTCAAGACACTATGAAAGTGGATATCTACTTCCAGAGTTATATCTCTCACCAGGAAATTAGACTGAGATAATATTTGGTATGTGAAAGTTTTATTCAAGGCAGAGGTCTTTAAGATATAAATAAATATTATTTATAATTTCTGAAGGAAAGACTAAATTAAGTTGACTATTTGGTAGATTTACAGAGTTACTAACAGTGAGCTTGTCCAAGATTGTGAGGATGGTCCAGGAAAGGTCAAGGTTTAGATCTGTTGTTTAGACGTCACTATGAGACGTAGTCAGCTCAACAGCACATAATAACAACAATACCTTGGACAGTGTAGTGCTGTCTTTAGCCATGATGCTATGAGATTGGTGGGGTGGAAAGCGGGGTGGGAAGTTTTGCATAGACACATTTGTATTTTTACTTATGTACATTTTACCTTTTCATGTTTTTTATTTTTTTTGTATTTGCATGATGCATGCATAGTCCTTGAGACACATTGCCAAATATAATAGTATTTTCTAACGTGAGGACAATCTAGAAATTATGGCTGTGATTTTGTACAAATTCAGTCAAATGCCTCGGGTCATGTCCATACTCTGCATCTTGCCCACAGGTCAGCAATAGCCGCGGGTCTCCATGGTTACAACGCTACCCTGGTGGGAATACTCATGGCTGTCTTTTCAGATAAGGGAAACTATTTCTGGTGGCTGCTATTCCCTGTATCCCTCATGTCCATGACTTGGTAAGTTGTACCTAGTTTTCAAAATCCTTTATTTTCAAATTTTAGATTCGGGTGATGTATTGGTACAACTGGTGGAAGGTCAGCTATGGGTCTGAACCAACTCGGTGGCAAAGAGTGAGTGAGTGATCTTGAAATATAGCGAAGTTGAGAAACACTATGTACTTCAGTAGTCCTCATATACATGGAGAACATTTCCGAATCACGTGAAGGGCTTTTTAAAACAGAATGTGCGTGCGCAAACACACATCCCATTACCCCACCCCCATCCCTGTACCCCCTCATACTCTCCCTCTTTATCCACCCATCCCCCACCCAACTTCCCCCACCTCCTCACCCACCCTCACCTCTCACTTCCATCTGAAATGTTCTAGTTATGGGTATTCTGTGATTTTGAGAATCTGCACTTCTAACAAGTTCCCAGAGGCTGCTGGTGTGGCTGGTCGGGGAGTCCACTTTGAGAACCACAGTGCCTATGGGAGCTGCTCTTTCCCATCTGTCTCCTTTTTTAAAAAGTAAAAAATATTGAGTCATTTAAACTCCTTTTTCTTTTAACCTGAACTCGTTAAAGGAGTTTCTATATGTTGGTACAGTCTTAAATCCATTTTTCAGAAGCAAAAATTTCTTTCTTACTATACATGGCATATTGGGACTAGAAAATAACAATAATAACCACAAAAGTGAAAGATACAACCAATACAGACTGTGTCGGAGGGGCATCACCCACCCATGGCAGGGGTAGGCGTGGAATGGGGCAGATGGAACCTTCTCCTCAGGAGATGATCTGGAGCCTGGTCTGACCTTCTCCTCAGGAGGTAATCCGGAGCCTGCTCTGAAAAGCAGACCTGCATTCCCTGTGAGTCATAGTCGACTCAGTAACCAGCATCACCTGAAACTAGTGTTCACCACCTCATCTCCTCATAAGCAAGGACATCTGGAGCCCTGACCCTGAGCATATGACTCTTCAAAGATGTCAACAGCGGATGCTACAGAAGAGGGTCTGGGACGCAGTTTCTTAGAGCTTCCTTAATAAAGTCTCACAGACTAAGTGGCTCAAAGCGGCAGAAATTGATTCTCTCACAATCGTGGAGTCCAAAGTCAGTTGTCAGCAGGGCTCTCTATTCCCTCTGAAAGTGCTAGGAGAGAACACTTCCTGTTCTCTTCTCCAGGTGGTTGATGGCAATCCTTGGTGGTACCTGAATTGGTAGCTTCATTCCAATCTCTACCTCTCTCAGAACCTGGAGTTCTCCCTGTAGGTCTCTGTGTCTCACATTCTCTCTTTTTACACCAACACTAGACACTGAGTTAAGACCTGCCTAATATGACCTCTTTTAACTTCATCACATCTGTGAAGACCCAACTCCCAAATGAAGTCATGTTCACAGGTACCTGGAGACAGGACGGAAACATAACTTTGAGAGGAGACATCCGTCAATCAACAGCACCATCAAATCCATCCCTGCAGTTTACAGATAAGCTAGCTGAGGAGTGCCTCCCCCGAGTTCACACAAAGCATGAACAGCTGAGGGACTCTGTCCTCCTGAGCATAGATCATGTTCCTCCCGCCCATATCATCTGCACCTTCGACAATTATTTATCCTTCTCAAAATTGAATATACTAATAACTCAGGCAGTCTGAGTGCTCCTTCAAAGCAAGGATGGTGAAACTTTATCTCACATAGTCTGGGAATACTATCTGAAGGGGCCAGACCCTGGAGAAAGGCATCACGGTTAGAAAAATGGTGGGTCTGGAGAAGAGAGGAAGATGCCCACTGAGCTGGATTGACGCAATAACTGCAGCACAGAACACAGCTGAGATTTTGAGGGTGGCACAAGATTGGGCAAGGTTTTATTCTGTTATACCTGGGGCTGCTATGAGTCACAGCTGACTCAGTGTCACCTAATAGCAACAATGATGCGTGACAATTATACACACTGATTCAGACTAATTGTGCATAACCTACACAGTAGGGAGGGAAGACCGATGAGCAATTATTGTTACAGAGGGAGTTTTAATTATGTATGTATCTTAAGTACTTCAAAATTATTTAAACCGTGCCATAGCTCAATCTGGGTAACATTGGAGCATAATTCTCTAGAAGAAAAATAAGCTAAGAGTTGGTTTGGTGAGGGTGTTTTGTTGTGCTTTTTTTTATGTTGTTGTTATTTTAAAGGCCTTCCATAGTACAGAAATTTGGTTTGCTCCCATGGCTGGTCACGTTGTACATTCTCTTCTGTTTTGTTTTTAGCCCGATCTTCTCAAGTGCCTTGAGCTCTGTGTTCTGCAAGTGGGACCTCCCTGTCTTCACCTTGCCTTTCAACATGGCGCTCTCCATGTATCTGGCAGCCACGGGACATTACAATCCCTTTTTTCCAATCAAGTTGGTCACGCCTGTCAGCTCTGTTCCCAATGTCACCTGGTCTGACCTCAGCGCCCTAGAGGTAAGTCTCCCACCGTCTTCTGGCATTCCTCCTGCCTCTGGACAATATCTCAAGTCTTTTTGGGATAGTCAACTCATGCCCATTTGAATCAGAACCAACTCCTAGATGACCCTCTAGTGGGTTTTCAGAGCCCCGGGAGTGCAGTGGCTACGCACTCAATGGCTAAGGATCTGAACCCATCCAGAGGCTCCGCAGGGAGAAAGATCGGACAATCTTCTCCCGTTACAGCCTTCGAAACCCTGCGGGGAAACTCTGTTCTACAGAATCACTATGCATGAGAACAGACTGGACAGCAAACATTTGAATCTATTAGAGTCGAAAGTCTAGGGTGGCCTTTTATCACTTAGATATTTATATCACTTGGAGTTTTTATCACGTAGGTGCTATTTCAGCATTGTAAGAATCTAAGAAGCTTTGTAATGACTGTTGAGTCAAAGCTAACATTTTCCTCACCTTTTCCTGGGAATCTGCAGCAGGCACTCCTCAGGGGAGTTCCACCGGAAGTCAGGCACACTGCAGGTCTCCGTCAAATGTCACTAAGAGCAGTAGAGTCAGTAAGTAGAAGGACTTGGGCAGACATGCTCAGTTCTCCTCCTTACATTGCACTGAAGTAGATGAATTTTTATTCCCCCTGGGGCTAAAAAAAATGAAAAAGTGAATTTTTTTTAAAAAACCTAGAATCACCACTTTTGAAAGGTATAACGTATGAAATGTAAAAATAAACTTTTTATCAGGGTCCTCTGGGTTTCTGTTTGGTTTTAGTGTCCTCAAACTTTTTAATTGCTTTTGCAGTTACTAAAATCTCTGCCTGTGGGTGTGGGTCAGATATATGGCTGTGACAACCCGTGGACAGGGGGCATCTTCCTGTGTGCCATTCTGCTGTCCTCCCCGCTCATGTGCCTGCATGCAGCCATTGGATCTCTGCTGGGAATCGCAGCAGGTAAGCATGGCATCCCCTGGTCCTCAGGCATGGACTGGGTGTCTTCTATATGCCAGCATTTCCTTGGAGTCTCTGCTTCTCGAGGACCCATGGGAGGTCTCGGGACACTGCCCTGACTCCTTTCAGAAAATCCAGGTGTTCAGCGTGCAGCTCTGAGCCCTCTTGTCTCATCCTATAGGCCTCAGCCTTTCAGCTCCATTTGAGAACATCTACTTCGGACTGTGGGGTTTCAACAGCTCTCTGGCCTGCATTGCAATAGGAGGAATGTTCATGGCACTCACTTGGCAAACCCACCTCCTGGCAATTGCCTGTGGTGAGTATCCAGAGCGTCTTAGTAATGATGGGGGGAGAAGATCTTCTCATGTCTGTGGGGTCAAATTCAAAGAAATCCAGCCCAAAAGGATTGTCAGTAAGAAATCAAGACCGAGTGCCTTGTTTGATGCCACTGTTATCTCAGTCTGTCTCGGAGAAGGTACAACCAGAGTCTGTCTTACAGGAAGCATGATCATGGTGATCTTAAGAGGCAAGAATGGTGAAACTTCATCTCACGTACATTAGGGGGTCAGAGAAAGAGAGGAAGACCTCAGTGGGATGGACTGACACAATGACTGTCACAGTGACTGTCACAGTGGGCTCAAGTCTATCAGAGACAGTAAGGGAGGTGCTGGATAGAGCAAGGTTCAGGTCAGTTGCTCATAGGGTCTCTGTTAGTCATCATCAACACAATGGCACTTAACAACACCACCTCAGTGTGTGACCGGACAAGGGACTTCCCTTCTGGGCATAATAGTCTGCTCTCAGGTTTATCCTGGTTATAGTGGAGACAGGAGAACCTGTGGAATCCTGGTAAACATGCTGTTGTTGTTAGCTACCATTAGGTTGGCCCCACCCACAGGGACCCCTACAGAACACAATGAAATACTTTGTGGTCCTGCACCGTCTCCACTATCAGTTGTAGATTGGACCACTGAGCTCCATCAGATTTCCATGGCTGACTTTCAGAAGTAAGTACATCACCAGGTCTTTCAGCTTAATCCATTGAAGTCTGGAAGTTCTGCTAAAACTTATTCAGCATCATAAAAACTTTCAAGAAACCTCTACTAATAGGAGGACAGTTATCTGCAAATCAGATGCATTACCCAGAAGTGGAACCTGGGTCTCGTCTCCTGCATAAAAGGAAGAATTCTACCCTTGAACCGTAAATGTCACTTAATATTCTGTAATGTGTTCATTTGTTGAGAGAGCTCTGGAGGTCTACTGGTTAGAAGCCACACTGCAATGCCAAAGGCATGTGGTTCAAATCCACCAGCTGCACTGTGGGAGAAAGATGAGCAGTCTCCTCCCATGTTATTAACTCCCTCTGAAAACCTGCTGGAGGGCCAGCTATGGGCCTCAACAACAACAGTGTGTTTATTTAGGGACTACAAACCTGATTTTTCTTGATCCTTCATACTATTTGTCCCAAGAAACTGGAAGGAAAGAACTCTGATTTCATGCAGGAAGGTAGGGAAGGAATTTGTATTTCTAACAGTTTCCCAGCTGATAGTAATACTGCCATCCAGACACCATCCTTTAAGAACTTTCCTGATTAATTAAAATATTAATACTTAAGCATTCATCCATTACAAGTTCATTAATCAAGTTAATTCATTAACACATCAATCCCTTTTTCTGGTCACACTTGGCCCACAAAGCTAGAAAAGTCTCCAGAGATCTCTACTCCCTCCTCTTGTTTTACTATTGAGATACTGAGATTTAAAAGGGTAGATGATGTCCTGAAGGGCATGTACCCCACTCTAAATGCAAACCTGGGAATTCCTAGTGGCTCCACTTACCTTTACAGTAAGTCCCAGTTATGAATGGCCAACTGAGGAACAACTGGTGCCTGCCCTTAAGTGTTATGCAAATTTGCCCTCCCTTTGAAATGATTGAACTCAGCCCCTGCGCAGTTCCTTATAACAATCACCTTCACCTGCTTCACCACAGCTTTTAAATCCTTGAGAAGACTTCAAGCATTTTCTTACACTAAAAGCCCCACTGCCATGGAGTTAATTCCAACATGTAAACACTCTGTAAATCGTTATAAGAGAATAAGAATCATCTGCACTTTTTTCCTAACTTATCTACAAATTCTAATTAAAGGCACACTTAGAAATGGACTTCGTTTGCAACTCAGGGGGCTGCCCGTAGCAGCATTCAGGCCTTAGTGGTAACCGCTTTCGTGGCACAGTGCTTAAAGACTCAACTGCTAATCTAAAGGTCAGCTGTTTGAAACCCCCACCCCACCCTAGAGGGAGAAGAATGTGACAGTCTGCTTGCATAATGATTTACAGCCTTGCAAATCCTTGGGGAAGGTCGACTCTGTTCAGTATGGTCACTGTTAGTAAGAATTGATTTGGCAACAGCAATTTGCTAGATAAAACAGTTTGGTTTGGGTAGATAAATAGTGGTTTGAATTTGGAACTATTAATGAATTTCTCATGTTAACTATAAATAAAAACCAAAAGACATTACCATTGAGTTGGTTCATGGCAACCCTCGATCAGCTTTTCAAAGCTGTAAATCTTCATAAAAGACATTCCATCTTTCTCCCAAGGAGCCACTGGTGGAATTGAACCACTGAACTTCAGGTGAACAATCCAACATGTAACACAGTACACCACCAGGGCTCCTATGTTTACTATAAAGGGAGGCTTATTCATCCAAGAAGGTCCCTGGGTGGTGCAAATGGTTCTGAACTCACTCACCAGTGCCACAGAAGAACTGTGTGGCAATCTGCTTCTATAAAAATCAGAATCAACAAAGTCTAATGGAGCTCAGTTCTTCATAACTGTACATGAGTTAGAAACAATTCAACTGCTAATGGTTTGAATAGGGGCTTAATTCGCATAATCTGTGTTTTGACTTTCTCTTATGCTATTTGCTCTTCCCAGATATCTCCTCTGCCTTTCCTGTGAGTTTATATATGCCTAGATATCAACTGTTTGAGTGATATGTCCTTAAGGGGAGAGCTGAAGCCCAGGATTAAGCTGGCATCTCTGCTGGTGCAACAAAGATGGAAGGAGAGAAGGCAATAAATATATTGCCAAGTGCAGGACATTTGATGTTTAAGGCAGTGGGGATAGCTAGGTGTTGATCCTTTATTTCATCAACCCTGGGGAAGTTTCAGCAGCTTCTACTTTGGAACTATAACAAACAGTGTCACAGTGAGAATTCCTGCACAAATGTCCTTGTGTATTTTGCAAAGTCTTTCTGTGAGATAATTTCTAGAAGCGGAATTGATGGGTCAAAGGGAGTGTCAGTTTTCATTTTAAAAATGTCAAATCCGTCTCCAAAAAGGTCATACCCATTTATACCACAGTGCATGAGAGTCCCTTTTTCACCCACAATGAGTATTGTGAGCCTTTTCAGTCTTTAGGCATGAGGTTTTGTCATGGACCTTCAGTCCTCTTGTTCAGCAGATCTCAAACGTGAAAATGCCAGCAAGTTTCCACATGCTCATATCACCCCAACGCTGCCAGGAAAAAGAGGCCAACCTTGTCAACTGAAATTAATGACCGTTTACTTTACAGCTAATCTTTTATTATTCCAAAGTTCCTTTATTAGTTTATTATCAGAAAAAGGACCTAAGAAACTCTGATAGAACCTGACCATATTGCCTGCCCTGTACCTTTAAACTAGAAATGGCATAACAAGGTACTTCTCAATTTTACTATATTATCAGTCCACACTATAAACACATTTTGTATATCTTTTCATGATTGGTTTATCATAATAGAACTAACTGGCAGCTTGTTGGAAAGAACGTTGCCCAGGATGAGGTGAATATCGATCTTCCCTTTCGCATTCAAAGGTCTTTTCTCTCTTAGTGGGTTATGTAGACTCATTACCTACAAACTGAGCATATTGTACAGAATTTTACCTCTAATACAATAATTCCCCAGTGCAACTCAGCAATATTAGTAGGCTTTATTTTAATAGTCACCTACTGAGAAGGACAAGAGAGAAAGACCCTGGGTGAGATGGATTGACTCAGTGACTGGAGTAATGGGGTAGATGTGTCAGAGACAATGAAGTTGGCTCAAGATAGAGCAGGGTTCAGAACTGTTGTACAGAGGGTTACTATGAGTCGCAAGCAACATGATGACACATAACAACAACATTGTTAAGAATGTCAGAGTGTCTGATACTTTTCCTATGAAGATAAAAGCAACTTATAATTGGAGATCACTTCAAAACACTATATTAATGTGGAACAAGAAAGTGCCTCAACTATGCCTTATAATATAATGGGCATTAGTATAAAAGAGATGGCATTAAGGTATGATATATTTAGGACAGGTGTTACGAAGAACTGGAACTCAGGAGCAGGCACAGAGGGTCTCTATTACTTCATAGGACCAGTGAATAATTGGATTATTTGTTGAAAGAAATCAATGAAATAAAAGAAATCATTAAGTTGGGCAAAATCGAAGTCAAAAGCTCCTCTTACCCTTCAACTACCTTTCTTGATTTCCAGTTCATTAAACTTGCTTCCTTTAAAAAAAAAACAAAAAAAAACCTCCTCTTACTCAGAGTGGTATCCCAGTTCCATGGTTACAGCTTATGTCTGCTGCCCATGGAAATATATGAGCTACTTTGAGATTCATCACTGCACTGTTAGGTCGCCATTTGGCAGATGATTAAATTGGGGTTCAGAGAAATTCAGTGACATGCCATACAGCAAATAAAGTATCAGCATTGTAATTTGGAACTAGAACTGTTTCCAATGACCAGTTTAACTAGCTAACATAATACAATTCAGACATGGAAGAATTCTATGCTATTTAAGACTAAATATCAGGATAAGAGAAAATATTCATAAAAAGTTGCAAGTCTCTGTTGTTAGGTAGCATCAAGTCAGCCTCAACTCATTTGTATAACAGAAGGAAGCCCTGCTTAATCCTGTACCATCTCCACAATCCCTGCTATATTTAAACCCATTGTTTCAGTCACTGTATGTAAATACATCTCTTTCACTGACCTTTTGCTGTTTTCATGCATGGCATCCTTCTACATTTAGAACAAATAGAAACCACGCTATTTCGAGAAATTTTTAATTCATCCATTCTTCAGTCATACATTTGGGAAATTATCTTTTATCTAAGACTTTTTTCCTTAAGTATCAGTAATAACAACAGCAAACAGTCACCACAGATAGACTTCTGTTGAGAACACATGGTATGCTGAACACACACATGCTCTCCTTTGATGTCCTCACTCACCCGAGGAGAGAGGTAATTTTTTTTTACCTTCCATTTAAAGATGGAGAAATGAAGGTTTAAACTTAAACCAAACCCTCTGCTATGGAGTTCACGTCTATTCAAATCAACCCTGTAAGACAGAAGGATTGAATAGCAATGAAAGAATTTTTTTTTCTTTTACGTTTCAAAAAGAAAGACAAATTGGGGGGAAAGGGTGGGCAAGGAGAAAAGTGAATGGAAATCCAAAGTCTCTGTAAAGTTTCATGAAAATCAATTTAAAAGGAAAAAAAAAAAAAGAATAGAATTGCCCTAAAGGTTTTCCGGTGTTGAAAGCTTATGTGTGTTGGAGGAAGGAAGGGGTGGATGTTGATGAAAGCTTCCAGGGCAAATTTGTTTTTCCATTCAACAATTTATACCTTTTTTTCTCCTTGTTTGTTTTGTGGCATTAGTTGAAATCTTCTCAGTGTGAAGCACTCTCCCCCCATTCCTATCCTGTTTCCACATTTCCATTCCTCTTGCCCCTTCCTGCATTCTGAGCTTTGCTTTGGGGCAGATGCTGCTCTTTTGGTCTGGTCTGACTGACTGTCCTGATTACATTCTTCACTTTATAGGTCTGTCTCTTGTTTGGCTGAAAGGTGAGGTGGGTTCAGTTCCAGGCTGGAAGGGTGTTTAAAGACCATAGATTCAGGGACTCCATCAGTCTCTATCAATCCTTTCAGTCTGGTCCTTCCTATTATGTTTTTATTTTGTTCTTCATTTTTACTCCCATTCTGTCCATGGCCTTCTGTTGTGATCCTGATCAGAACAGTCCATTGTGGTAATTTGTGTGGTCCATTTTCTCTTTGAACTTGTTCTTTCTTTGCATATTTGATTTTCTGATTTTCTCAATTCTACTCTGCTCTGAATAAGGAGAGACCAGTTATTGCACCTTGGATGGTTGCTCACAAGCTTTTAAGATCCCAGTCACTACTCACCAATATAGAATGTAGCCCACAAACATTATCTTTGTGGAGTATGTTATGCCAATTGACCTGGATGTCCCCCAAGACTATGATCATAATCTCCCAAAGGGCTGTAAACATTTATGGACGCAGATTGCCTTTTCTCCTTCAGAGAAGCTAAAAGGTTCTAATCATTTGGGTTATCATTTGAATATTTCATCACTGCACAACCAGAGCTATAATGGAAGTTTGTTGTTGTTATGTACTGTCAAGTTGCAATCAACCCATTGCTGACCCTCCAGTCAGTTTTCCAGTAAATTGCATGAGAGGAGAGTGTCTATCTTTCTTCCACAGAACAGCTAGTTGATTCAAACCACGTACCTTTGGGTTGGCAGCACAATATCTTACCACTAAGCTACAAGAGCTCCCTATGGAAATTTGTACAATTCTATAGAGTCAGAACCAACCCATAGCCAACCCTCCAGAGGGTTTCAGAGGCAGTTAATAGCACAGGAGAAGATTGCCCATCCTTCTATGGAGTAGCTGGTGGATTCGAACTGAATACCTTTTGGGATTGCGGCACAGCTTGTTGCCTCTAGGCCACTGGAACTCCCTGGAATTTTCTGAACGTCACCAAGCTTCTAAGTGATAAAGCCAGAATTTGAACCCAAGACTGCCAGCTCTAAACTCAGTCTTGTATCCATGATGCAGAGCTAACTGAAAAAGAGCGGGAGCATACATGTCCGATGGTTCATACTGGAGGGCGGTCTTCCTGTGAGGAAATGTGCATCTACCAAGCTTTGTTCTTTCCTCTTGTTTGCAGCCCTGTTCACTGCCTACCTTGGAGTCAGCATGTCACATGTGATGGCTGTGGTGAGTTGACCTTACTCTCTTTTTATCATCAGCATGGCTAATTTTAGAATCTTGTCTACAGGGAGAACCCTCCTGAGATGCACCTGAGTGGTGCCCAGTGATGATATCCATGACGGTGACAACCAACAGTTTCCTTTCTCCTGAACTGTTCTGTTCTCTCCTACCTTCACCTGTAAACTTTAGTCCAAATCACCACCACTGGGCTTGTAAAAGCTTTTGGTTTAAAGAGCTGAATCTTAGCTTATGTAACATATTATCAAGTTCAGAGTCTAACTCTGAGTACCAGTACGTTGTTTACTTCAACAGAACGTCTGTACTATATACTTGGGAAGTCAGCAAAGAAAAAAAAAGAGAATCAACTAAAGGCCCAGATGAGTTAAAAACAACAAAAAAAGTAATCCTGGGGTTTCTTACCTATTTGGGGATGGTTGTTGTTTTTTAACTCTTCAGTCATCCATTGGACTATACTCAGACCTGTTGTTGTTAAATACCGTCAAGTCGCAGGTGACTCATAGCGACCCTATGAAGGAGAGTCCTTGACACTTGGGTGCCTTTCATCCTCTCTCCATGTTCATAGGGTTTCTGGAGGCAAGCTATTACGGAAGTGGATGCCACTCCTCCTAGATCCTGGCTAAATTGTTTTATAGACAAAATCATTGCCCGTTGCCTCCTACCATGCTTTCTTCTTCCTAGGAAGCACTGTCCTCTTATTCCTTGACCTTTTCTTTTCTCACCCTCAAGGAGCAAGCTGTCTCCAGGTTCTAGGATCTCCTATCTCCCAGTGGTATATCCAAGTTGGGGCCAATGCTTTGTGTCCCAAACTTACCCTCAATTCTTCACACACTGTTTCCATCACCAGCAAATTTTTGAGAGAGTAAAATATCATTATGGTAGAAAATACAAGCCCCATGACCAGCATGATGGAGGAGGGGTGGTTGTGTTACATTATAGACTCAGAGCACCCTTTGAAGGCTTATGAGGCCCTTTCATTTGATGCCTTTGAGCTATGGTGTTGGAGAAGAGTACTGAACATCCTATGGACTGTCAAAAGAACAAACAAAAATGTCTTGGAGAAAGTGCAGCCAGAGTGCTCTTTAGAGGCAAAGATGATAAAGCTTCACCTCATATACTTTGGTCATGTAGCTAGGAGAGGCTATTCCTTAGAGAGGGACTTCATGCTTGGAAAGGCAGAGGGTTGGAGAAGGAGAGGAAGACCCTCAACCAGGTGCACTGGCACAGTGACTGCACAATAGGCTCTATCTAGTGTGTCGGGAATTGTAAGGATGGCACAGGATAGGACAGGGTTCAGATCTGTTGTTCATAGGTCACTGTGGGTTGTACTCAACTCACAGCACTTAACAACAATAACAACAGGGCCCTTCACCTCCCAACAAGTATTCACAAACATCAATCTATGATCAGAACTGAGAAGGCTGCACAACAGACTCAGATGAGGAGATTTTTAAAAGTAGAGATCCTTAACCTCCAACCTTTGGTGTTTATGATACGGTGGATCTTTAAGGGGGCTCAGGCATCGGTTCATTTATGTGTTCATTTTCTTAATTGCACTCCATCATGCCCCAGGAGGTCCATAAATAAGACCACGCCTGATTGGGTGCATAATGTGTGCTCAGAATGTCGTAGACAGCTTACAAGGAGGATTGACTACCCTTACAGAGTTTAGTGTCTATTTGGGAACAGAGTGGAGAGAAATGAAGCAGAAAGAGACCAAGACCTGGGTGAAAGTCTAGGGGAGAGAAGTCCCCATGGGCTAGACTGAGAAAGGAACTGTGAACATGATGTATAGTCAGGAGTCATTATGCTCTGTCATCTCTGAAGGTGTGTCTTTGTAGAAAGTTTGTTTCTATGAGAGGGAGGGCAGACAGACACCATAGAGACATAGCTGACTACCCTAAAGAATGGGTGAAAATATCAGCGAGTCTACTATCTGCTCTAAAATCGTGGATTCAGTCTCCATGGGCATGAAGAATACAGAGCAATGTCGCAATGACTCACCTCCTAGGCTGAGGGACAGTACAAGGCTGGGAGAGGCTCTGGGTGGCTAGACTTTCCATTTGGGACAGAAATGGACTTTCCTGTAGACTTTAGGAGTCAAGGTGCGGCTTGTCTCTTCTTCCTCAGGTTGGACTGCCGGCCTGTACCTGGCCCTTCTGTTTGGCCACGCTGCTCTTCCTCTTGGTGACCACAGAAAACCCCAACATCTACAGGATGCCACTCAGCAAAGTCACTTATCCTGAGGAAAACCGCATCTTCTACATGCAAGCCAAGAAAAGGATGACTGAAAGCCCTTTGTAAGAGCACGACTCATGGGGGGCCACAGGCACGAGTCTTTTTTGACCAGATGCCTCAGTCAACGACATCCTGTTTTCCCTAGTAGCAACTCCATACTAACCCACTGACGGTCTGTTTTGCACTTATTGTTCTTTTAGACTCTGGGGGATACTTCCAAGCATATAAGAGCCCTGGCGATGGAATTTTAAACCTCAGCAGGGAGTTGGAGCCAACCATGACGCTAATGTATTTATAAAGTCAGAATGCTCCCACAGAGAGAGCAAGTGAGACTGGAGCTAATTATTGATATTTATTGATATTCTTGGTGTTTGGTCAGCTGGATGATGTTAACAGTATTAAAAATTAAGCTCTTTAAACTATCCAAGCCTTAAGTGAATGGAATTCACAGTCCTAAAATCGAAGTGAACACAGAACTTTCAGATCAATAGTCCAAGTTTTCTGGGTTGTATTGTTTAGTTTTGGTTTTTGGTGGTTTGGGTTGGTTTGTTTTTTCTTCAGTCAATGCAAGTTACATATTACGTCTGTGCATCTCCAGGGCACAGGCTGATCGCTTGTTTCCTCTGTTCTTCCAATGACCCTCATTGCATGTGGGTCATTATCTAAAAAAAAAAAGACCACTGCTGCCAAGTGGATACTGATTCAGGGCAAACTCCAAGGCCATGAAGCTTAATAGAAAAGATTGCCTCCTCTTTCTCCCTCACAGTGGCTGGTCATGTTGTGAGAGCTGCAAAGAGGTGCAAGGGGTTTGTTCAGACAAAATGATTCTGAAGCATCGTTTCTCTGAGAGATTCCAAGGAATTCTTTAAATATAGGGTTGTTGGGTTTTCTCTCCTTAGAGAAATGGAGTTAGTTGTTTGGATAAAATATTCTATGACCTAACTAGTTTGATATTAAAGAAAAGCTTCATATTTAGAAAAGATTAAACATAGCAACAAATGCACAGAACTGAGTCATCAAATTCCATTCACCCCAAAAAAAATCCATTCACCTTTTTTTTTTTAAACTTTGTATGTTGCTTTGGAAATGTCTTTTTTATTTTTGTAAAATTGATATATAACAAAACATTTGCTGTTGAACATGTACAATTCAGTAATATTAACTATGTTTACCATATTGTATACGTTGGTTTTTTCTCAGTTCATTTAAAGAATGTTTTATATGTTATAAAAACTGAAGGTTAAGGCCATATTACTCACAGATGTTAGGAAAAGTTGTTTCATTTCTTCCTGAAAAAAAATCCTCATTACTTTCTGCACACTCACAATATTCTTTCACAGAAACAAATAATATCTGAAGCACCAAAAAGAATACACGTAAGGAAGTCTCTAGACCATTTTGTTATTATCTTGTTATTTTAAAATTATCAACTTTACAAGAAGCCTTAGTACTAGTTGTGCACTCAACTGTTAACCCAAAGCTTACCAACGTCAAGCCCGCTAGGCACAGGAGAAAAAAGTGATGTCCTGCCTTTGTAAAGATTACAGCCTTGAATCTTTGAATCTCTGAGACACTTCTGTCTGTCTTATTCTGTTCACAAGGTTGCTATGAGTCAGAATTGACTCAACAGAATCAAGTTTTTCCAAGTTTTATCAACTCTATAAAAATTCTATTACCAAACATAGCAAAGGCTGTGGTAGAATGTTATGCTTAATTTCTTTCGAGTAGGGATTTATCAGTTCAGAAATCTAGAGGATTAAAAGACCAAAACTTTGAAATGTTGAAGGTTTTCTCCTCTTTAGTTTGCAGCCCTAAGTACCTGTTTTAAAACAATATGCCTCCGGAAACTCTATGAGCTTTGATAAATGTCAATAGTTGTAGAGGGGATTCAGGGCTTTTGTTATAGGGTCGCTATGAGTCGTGCTCGACTCAAAGGCAATCAACAACAACAAGTGTATAAACAGAAATCAAAATGAAAACTTACAAATATTTTAGGGAGAGGACAACTTCTTCCTATTCTCAGGAAAGTAAGTGCACATTATTCCAATTTGTAAGCCCTGTGACCACAGTCATAGTCTTTTGAACCCATGAATTTGCAACGTATCCATATTCTGTTGAAAGGGCTGATTTCCAGTGTTTGAACTGAACTGTATTTGTAAAATACAGTTGCGGGGGGAGGGGAAGCACAACCAAAGATAACTAGGAGTGAGGAGTCCACACTATGGGGATGAGAAGCACAAGGGTCCCCATTCCTCTGTCAGGAGGGAATTTTAGCACCTTCTCCAGGGTCTGTTCACACAAGTATGTAAATAGCAAAAACTGAACGCCTTGTACATTATGTAATTTAAATGGCCTTAACTTCCTCAAACTATTTTTGTTATTATATATTATCCTAAAACGAAGCATTTTATTGACTTTCTTAAAGAACACTTCCCCCCTTGTAACAAATTTCTGTGTAAATATATGAATAAATTATACTCACAGCACAGTTCCCTATAGACTTTGTTTAAAAGTCACGTTCTTTTTTTAGCTATTAAAACATTCTTTATATATTAGTAATCACATGCTTCAACGTGTGGTAGTTACTTGGTCTTAATCACTGGTAGTTTGTCAGACGTGTGCAGAAGGAAAAAATGGCTGCCATCAAATAGATTGACTAGTGTGTGAACTGGCTCCATGGGGTTTTTAACGGCTGACGTATTTCATAAGCAGATGGTAGGCCTTTCTTTTGAGGAAACTGGTGGACTCAGACTTCTGATCTTTTGGTTATTAGCCAAGCATGTTAACCATTTGCCTTCCCCAAAGATTTATACGTGAGCACACAAACCCATAGATACTGTTTCAGCTGTTTACTGTTCTCTAGACTCAGAGATGAAACTTCCAGACTAGATTATTGATGATATTGTAGACAAGGTATGTGTCTATACTTTGAGATCAATATTCTTGGATCCAGCTTCCCCTATCTCTTCCCAGGTAGGCTCTATGTATCCCCATAAAGGGCCACGGGCATGCCTCAGGGTTCAGGTCTCAAGGACAATCCACCACATAAAGGGCCATGGGCATGCCTCACGGGTCAGGTCTCAAGGACAATCTACCACTCTGAATGCCCTTCTTAGGCTTGTCTCTACCACCTGAAGCACCTCTCGTCCATGTTCTTTTATCCATATAGCTGATATCTTAAAATAATGGAAATGCACCTAAAGTTTCAATAATGAGTTCCAAAACAGGCCAAAGCAGTAACAAAAGACCGTATACTTCCCCTCTGTCAAAGCAAAACCTTCTCTCCTGATTGTTCCAAAATGATAAATTGGACAGTCTTTCGGTACTTAGTAAGTTTCCCCTTGGAGCCCTGGCGGTTTAGTAGTCAGAGGCTGGCAAACTACAAGAGTGATGGTTCCAACCCACCAGTCACCGTGGGGGGAATAGTGGCCATCTGCTTCCTTAAAGATTTACCGCCTCGGGAGGGGACACTCCGCTCTGCCCTATAGGGTCACGTGAGTCTGAACTGACTCAGCAGCAATGGGGTTTGGTTTTAAATTTTTTTATTTTATTTTTTTTTTTGGCGTCTGAGAGAGAAGAGATAGAAGGTTTTGAGGCTCTTAGAATAAACTCTCCAGCATTATATAGCTTCAGGAGTACGAGCATCAATTTGCCTGTTGTCCGTTACACCCAATTGGCATGGAGTACATCAAAACTGAAAGTTGCTAGTGCAACAAGGAATGAATGGAAACCCAAAATCTCTGTAAATGTTTATGAAAATTAATAAAATATAGAAAAAAAACTGAAAGTTGCATTTATAGGCAATCAGAAACTTCCCAGGGGACTTCTTTTCAATCATTTAAAAATGTTGTGGAAGGATTAGGTCCAAAGCAAAGGTTATGCTTGTGAATGTTTTCTTCCTTCAGCCTTAACTAACAAGTTCTTTCCAAAAGTCTTCATTTTTAGAGTTTCATTTCCTTCTCTGATAGCCACGAGACCATAAGAAGGGCTCCCAGTTTCAAGGCTACAGAGAGTTTCATCTCTTAAAACAATCAACAACATAGATCCTGAAGGAATCTAAGCCTCAAAGAATACAATAAGTAATGGGATTTTTTAGTGTGATTTGAGTGAAAGTTTGATACAAACTTTTAGAGACAACAGACTTTTAGAAACAGGAAGATAAATCTTGTAATAGTCTGCTTTCACAAACTTAAAATTAAACTATATAACAGACACAGTCGATCACTTGAGATGCAAAACATGTAAAACAGGTAACTTCCAAATCTGACTTCAACCTTAAGTATTACCTTGCTAGGTATTAATACACCAAAAGCAAACTTCACATCTATCTGATGGAGTAGCAGAATAATCACCCACATTTTGAAAATGAGGCAAACCTAGAACAGAGGTCTCCAGAACTGGAGGTGGTACCCTGACACCAGACATTATGAGGATTCTGATGTAGAATGAGTTCACCAAGCTACCATATAGTTTCAAATAATATCTGATCCTATACTTATAAACTGACTTCTTGGGTAGACCTGCCTTCTGGGATAAAAAAGTACTGGCCGTAATACTTAGGTTTCTGATCTTTGGTTGCTACATTTCTTAATTTTAGCTCATTCTAGTTCTATATGTCGGTCTCTTTTATAAGTTTTACTTACTTGACTGTGATCATTGCCATTGAGTTGGTTCCAACTCAGTTGACCCTTTAAAGGGTTTCTGAAGTTGTAAATAGAGTGGGAGGAAACTTCCCATCTTTCTAACACAAAGCAGCTGGTGAATTTAAACCCTCAGAGACACACATAGCCATTGGGTTAGAAGCACAATGCCACCAGAGCTTCAATTTGCTTGTACAGGTTACCAAAAGGGGGGCACTGGTGGGCTAGTGGCAAGAAGCTGTGCTGTAATCCTGAAGGCATGCAGTTAGAGGCCACCAGCTGCTCTGCTGGAGAAGGATGGGTAATCTCCTCCCATGAGATTAACAGCCTCTGAAAACCCGCTGGAGGGTCAGCTATGGGTTGGTTCCAACTCTGCAGTACACAACAACAACAAGGTTACCAAAATCAAAATCACCAAATCATAGT